ATCGCGTAAATGCGTGCGTAAAAAAAGAACGTGTATGAATAAGCGTCGAGAGCGTATATTTGTATATTATGTATCAAGCAGACATGTATGCATGGTTATCAAGCAACATAACATACACATCACAAAATAACTTACCACAGTGACTTAATCTCTAGCATCAGACTATCCTTCTGTAATAAGGAGAGACGAGTAACACACACACACACACACACACACACACACACACACACACACACACACACGGAAGCATAGTAAGAGCAAGCAGTGGTGAGAAGCTTCAGGGTGTGGTGGTCAGCGGGACGTTTACTCAGAAGGCAATGTAACACTCTCCTCCCCACCCTCCCTTCAGGCGTCCTTACACACCACCACCTCCACAGTTTCACAATCGTTTCTCTAGTCACAAACTTTCTCAAGGAAGATCTGTGTTGATAGTAGTGAGGATTAATCCCCAAAGAAAGAGAGGAATGAGGAAGAAAGCAACAATACAAACACACAAGTTAAGAATGAGGCGAAGAACTTGCGGTACACACACACGAGGGTGACACCACTTGGTACAGCTTCACTCACAGAATGATCATAATTCTTTATCACTTTCGTCACCCAGCACTATAAGAACACCAACCCTGACTGACTCGTACAATAGACTGGTTGACTGACTTGTTGACCGACTGGCTGACTGACTGGTTGACTGGTAAAGTAGTTGTATGAAGACATGTACACAGACGCTACAGTAGTGACTCGTGCCACTGTTACTATGCTCACACCATCATGCCCACACTACCACGCCCACACTACCACACATACCCTACCACACTACCACACATACACTACTACCACACACACTACCACGCCCAAACTACCATAGGAACCAGTCAACATAACCTCGCCACACTAACATCTGCTGTAAACATCTCTGGCTACACAGGATATAGACTTTAACAGATATTTAACAGCAATGGCCCACCCCCGTCATGCTCACTGGCCCGCGCTGTCCACATCCTTCCTGCTGGTCCCCTGATGTTATGTACCTGCTACTTTTTTTTGGCGGGGGAGGGGGGGGGAGGTAGAGGGTTAGTTAATTTGCAAAATGACCGGCAAGCATGTTGGGAAAAAAAATTGCAGACAGGCCAACCTAAGCTAACCTTATAGTTGAATACGGTTCGGTTAGGTTGTTTGAAATTAGAACAGGTAAGGTTAAGACAGACAGCACATAATCCGAAGTAAAAAAAAAAGAAATACAAAAAAAAAAGAAAGAAAGACCACGAAAATGTCTATAAAGCAACAAGAGCCAACCTGACCTAACCTAATAACCTTTGTTTTGCCTGATTCGCTAACCAATAAGATGAGATGCAACCAAAACAACCATGATGGTACACTGTTCGTGTCCTCGGCAATCAGAATGACCGGCTGGAGTGAACCCTTTGAGTCCTTTAGTTCAGTTTTTGATGAGATTCGAACGATCATGACCTTCATTTCCGTCGGAAGTCTCTCGTTTATGGGAGGTGTGGAGGGGGGTCGATATCTCAAACGAGTGATATCCGACGGAACTGGTCATGATCGTTCGAAACTCATAAAAAACAATCGAAAAAACATAATTTTGTTGTCCTAATGGAGAGGGGGCAATTAAAAGCAAATTTACCCCGTATTACTGGCGGGCGATAAGTGTAAACAGTTTATGATTGAAATGTATTTTAGCTTCTCTGTGTAACTTTCTTTTTAAATAAAATTATTGTGTAATAAAAAAGGCAGAACCATGAAGGTAACACGCCAGTTTGTCTACTCTCATTGTGTATACTCTGGAAATGGCTACTATTCCCATTTGGTCTGCTCCTATTTGGTCTAGGTTAGCTAAAGTAGGTAAAGTAATTTTCAGAGATCATTAACTGATAGTAGACATTCTGGGAATATGTGACATTTTCAGTGTATACACAATGGGAATAGACGAAATGGGAACCCAGGTGTATAAGAAATAGAAATTTGTCAGTAAACCAAACGAGTGTATAGACAAAATGGGCATAAACCATCATAATATTGTCAGGTAAAGTATTCAACACGAACTGTTAGTCAGTTTAGCGGTTGTGCTTGCTGTACAAATTGTGACTTTACTGTTACGTAAATAAGGCTACACCGCCAGCAGGTACAGCGGCGTCGACAAATAGTGGTGGTATAAGCAACGGGACCACTGATGGCGGGACTCAGCCACTGAATGAGAGTCGACAGAAACAAATGACAAATAATCTGTCAGGAGTAAAGTGGATTATCGTTACTCAACACGGGACAAACAATAGTGTCTTAGAAAATAGTTAAAATCGTCTGTCAGAAGGAAAATGATCAGTGTACCAGAGACAAGACAAGAGCACCAGAAAGACGCTGCCGTCGCCCCTCCCGCACTAGATGTAGCCCTCCACATGTGGAACATCTGTGGACGACCCTTCCGGTCCCGTATCGGCCTCTCGAGACACCTCAGAACTCACCAACGAAGGTGACATCCCTAATAACTCATATCATTGTATCATAGTAGTAACACAGGCCCGACGATTAACGTTAACTCAGTCTCGTATACAGTACAGTACAGTACTTCACAAAATTGCATGGTACATTTCTAATACGGACCATGGTGGCAAGCGTGTAAACCTGTTGCTTATGTAAAGATTTTCGACTAAATGGGCAAACTTTCCTCGTGCTGTCTTTACATAATCACAATAACTCACGAAATGGTAAGTGAGACAACTGTAGTAGTGGCAGTAAGAGTACAGTACTGTAGTAATAGCAGTACAATAGGAAACACAAGGAGCTCCCTAGTCTTTACGGTACACAACATATGTAAGGATTTATAGAAATGTTAGATCAAGCCAATTTTGTGCAATAAAACATGAACAGTGACCACAGCGGTGTCTTGACTGCCGAGTTCACAGGAAGTTATCACACGCTTCTTACTTTATACGAGTATAACAAGGGTATCGTACAAAACTCGCCTCTCCCGTCCTGGCCATAAGCAAGCCTGTTATAATATACAGCTAGCTACACAGTTTATATATATTCTACAAAGCATTCACGTTGAGGAGAATTAAGAATATTACCAAAGAGACTTCAATTAAGTGGTTGTGTCGTAACAAGAAGTGTGGATATTTGACGCCACAGATCATTGTCAGCACAGCACACGTTACTCGGGTCTTGTTCACGTGTTACAAACTTCATTCTAAGTTCAGTGATTAAAGTTCGGAGACACATTACTTATTTATACAGTTGATTTAAAGCCTTCAAAGAACCAACGATATCTAGATATATTTTTTCAACAAATGCATTTATAGCGACCGACGGCAGCTTACTCCTTTATGAGTTGCAATTCTCATTTTATCAGTTAACAATCCCTCAATAAAGATTATCCTGTGAAACATGGAAATAATAACTGGTCTTATGTCATCAGTTAGTCAGTACAATGGTTGACTGATTTACCTCATAATCCACCTTTTCATTGTTCCTGTCAATTATTCTTTGATGGCCAATATCTTTGTTTTATCCACTTCCATGTAATCGATTATCTAATGTTCTGCTTTTCATTGTATTCAATTTCTTGAATCTCTTATCACTTTCTTTCTCCGATTGTCTGTATGTTATTAACGCTTTCAGGGGACTTCAGCCAGACAGGCACCTCACCAAGGCTACCAACTGCTGCAAGCACAAGACACAATACTTGGAAAGAAACCAAACTTTTTATAGGCGTCTGATCAGGAATTTAAAATGTTTAATAAATCTTACAACAGGGTAAGTGACTTCGTTCAGCTCCTTATTTCAAAATGTAATTATTTGACGTTTAATTTCATAACAGGTCCAGATTATTGTTATTTTTGCCCAAGGGATTAAATGATGGAATACTGTGACTATATCTTACCAAAGCAGATTAAATAAAACTTTTGTTCATATAAATTCTAAGATAAAAACTGATACTTTCCTCACACTTCTCGAGGTAAATAATGAGATACTAGCACCCCAAGCCTAGTGAAGCAACTAACACACAACACTATGATGGAGAAGACAACTAAGACTCGTGAGGCAGCCTGTAGTGTTGACAGAAGCATTGACAAGAACCCTGGTATTACCGAGGACCTTTCAGTCCTCAACGGTTCAAGGGTATTCCACCGCCATGCTCCCTGCACAATAACGGAGACGTTCATGTTCCCTTCAGCAGACACCCGCTTGCCCACCTGGCTGTCACGGACTTATGGTGACAACAATTAACACAACTGTCACCTGTTATCCCCCATTACACCTGTTATAAGTGGTGGGTCATATGCACGACACCTTATATTTTAGTAATATAAATGATTAAAGTTATACCTTGAAAAACGTTATATGTAGAGAAACATTTTGTAATAAAACTTCGAGATATGTTTCCTAACAGGGTAAGAGACATTTTCTAACGATTAAAAGGACTTTCTGACTGATAAACATTTTCTAACTTAAAATTACTGAATTTAAAATATATACGTCCGTTGTTTTTTCTTGACACAGCCAACAGAACCTCTACTATTGTCGCGCTTTCCACGACAGCAAGATGACAAGGGTTGGGCTTTACAGGTGGTGAGTGTCGTGTCTTCTCTCTTTCTTACACAAACACACACACAAACACAACACCGACTCTTTCGCCTCAAACAATACAAAAAGCTCTCTCCTACAAACACACCATTGAAATCTCAAAAGCTAAAACTGGTTATCGATGCAACTTTGAGTAGAAGAAACAGTAAGACAAAATAACTGACATCTTACCTTTGTTTAATATGAATAAAATTCCTTTGGGTAACAGTTTCTAATAGACCTTCAAGTTATCAGGAAGACAGAGGATTTGTCATCATGGCGCCGTGTAGAAAAATGTCGACATTTATATTGGCAAAACGACAATATTGTAGAATGAATAATAGAGGTGTGTGTGTGTGTGTGTGTGTGTGTGTGTGTGTGTGTGTGTGTGTGACCCCAGATCCACTACTCCAAGCATCACCTACCTCCAGGCCGTTGATCTACCGGGCGGCTCTACCAATCTGCCGTGACCCCTGACGCCCACACTTGCCCACGTCAGCAAGACCAAAACGGTCACGCTCGTCCACACGCCGCCCATCATGCCACGCCCACGAAACACTATTGTGTGGGTCTCTCGGATAAACCTGGAAAGAAAAAAATAAAGTTTTATAAAAATTAGCTGCGACGAAAACAATGGAATAAATACCCAAAAGGGCTTAAAGATAACTAAACATTTACTATACATCCTTAACACCGGATATGACGGCGTTCTGTATGTCAGCCATGTGTGATTTGCTCAAAAACTTAATATATGTTTAAGCTTTTTTCAATACAGTTCTTAATCCTCTATACAACTAATCAGTCAAGAGCAACACCAGTACGATCAGAAATGTTAAATATACAGCAGGCAGTTGTAGTCATGAATTTCCTGGGGGACAGGAGGAAAAACGAGATCAAATTTGTATCTTAATGTTTTCAGGGATACGTGCAAGGCTAGACGAGGCCTGGGGAGGGGGGGGGCGGTGCTGGTCGGCTACCACCAAGCAGGTACGTACCCTCCATGGCTACCACAGACAATTCCTGTTTTATTCAATTTACTTAAGCAAGAAATATAAATTTCTAGCAGAAATTATTCATCGCAACTATTGACACATAGAAAATCTTAACTGAAATGATTGTTAGGTTAGGTTAAGTTATCGCTTTATATAATACTGTCGTAGTTTACCAGTTGGTGTTACGCAAGAGCATATGGTTGAAGGTCTTCGCGGCAAGAGGGACGGAAGTCTACATTGGGTAGATCACCTCGCCCTTCACACTCTGCCTCACCCCAACACCCACACCAGTCCACTGAACACCTCAATACAGCTTTATAATAATCACAACAGCATCAATTAATGGCTGTTTACGTTGAAGACCTGAATAAGGACTCGCTCCCACCTCGCCAGGTAAAAATCTCGTCACTTCCATACCAACATATTATTCACCTGTGTTACTCTGGTATATATTCACATGTATGTCTTCGTATGCAAATAAAATGTGAGAATGAGGATCTTCAAACACGGGGAATGGTGTTCGTCAAGGCAGTCACCGTACCCGCCTTAGTTCTCGTTTGAAAAATAATTATCTGTAAATCAGCTGGGGAAGTAGATTTAAAACCATTTTGTATGGTGTGTGTGTGTGTGTGTGTGTGTGTATGTATGTGTGTGTGTGTGTGTGTGTGTGATCACTAGCACCACCACCAGGGTCACACACGCGAGGTGATACACTCCTGACTCACGGTCTATCCTCGTCATCCCCAATACTTCGTCACCCTCCCCACAGGGGTTACTCATGAAGGCCGTGGTGGGGGAGACACAACCAATAATTGCCCTAAAATATTCGTAAAAGTTCCGAACCAAAACTATTAAACTCACCCGAGAAATTAAATAAAGATCTCAACCCCCCACCGACTCTATGGAGCCTGCGCAGAACCACTAGCTGATCTGTGCTGTGTCTCGTATGTAGGTCATAATAATTTACAACTCAAACTAAACTGTTAGTACGGGTTATATTAAACACTGTGGTGACCAACACGACCACATCATTCACACCACCGCTGGGAAACACTACCACGAAACTTCTCCAGGTCACTTGGTAAACATTCTTATAATGAAATACCAACTTGTTTACTCACCAGAATTTTAACAACCATTACTTTCACACCATCAATCACCAATAACAAACATCAACAAGAGGAGGGCGAGTGAAAACCAATAGCCTCGAGAAACGACCCCATGACCGCAGTAGGGAGGTGACCGTGGTGGCGGAGCGGTCAGTGTGGTGGCGGGCCTTACCTCTGTCGACAATGAGGCAGACACAACTTAGGGTGGTCCTTGCCTCTATGGCAGTGACGCAACATGTCTTTGTGGCTCATCTCACATGTACGGTGATGATGCAACGTTCATTACATTACAGTACATCTTCCCTGTACCAGTGGAAAGTAGCAACACCGTCCAAGGCTTATGGTGAGTGCGGGTGTGCTTGTGGTTACAGCTCGCAAGGGGGGTGTAGTTGCTCTAACGTCGCTCACCTCAGTACTACCTCATTTCTGTACCTCATATACCCACGCCGAAGGTCACACGACGTCTTAATATTGTGGTTAGCTGAGAAAACTATAATAACCACTAATGTACAGGCAGCCTTAACGAGTATTGGTTGATTCTGACGATTAAGGAGGAAAAAGAGGGGTTTAAAAAGTAGAAATGATAGCGATGAAAATGAGGAAGATGAGAAGCAGCGGGAGATGGAGAAAGGAGTAGTGGACAAAGAGAAGTGGGTGAAGGGGTGACGCAGAGGATAAACTCAACGTGGGAAGGGGACAATCATGACGTACACAAAGAACTCCTATTGGCTGATGGAATATGAAGGAACGAACAGACAACCAATAAACGGCGTTGGCTCGAGTTTGAAATAATTTACATAATCTACGATGTTTTTTTAAGCATTTACGAATTTTGACGAAGTGGAACTAACAACACTGCAATTTTGTCGTGGCGAGGAACAAAGGATATTGTTGTGGCGAGGAACACAGGGAGGCGAGGATCTTGTCGTGGCGAGGAACACAGTGAGAATATATTTGCTTATTAGCTTTTGGTCGTATCCTCATGTTAAGTTTTCCTTTGAGTTGATAAAATAAACTAAAACTGGAATAATATTAGATATGATGAGGAGGTGTGTTAATAGGCAAGGAGTTTAGCAGCAATACAATGTAAAGAAACAAAAGCATCAATTCACATCAAAAGCAGCATCAATTCACAAGTAATCTAGCAGGTAAAGTAATCATGAGTGAGAGAGAGAGAGAGAGAGAGAGATGCTCCAGCAGTGGTCGGCTTCAAGAAAGTTAGCTCCGGCTGAGAGGTAGAAAGTGTGGAGTGAATCTATAATCACTAGTAAACCCTGTACAGCGTGGTCGAAAAAATCTAGAACTTTTTACCCCGTTAGTTGGTTGTGTGTGTGTGTGCGTGTGTTGTACATGAACGAGCTTAGCGTGTTTGTGGTGTATGGTTTGTGTGTTAACGCGCCTGAGAGAACAGTGACTCTGTACTGTACATTCTTAGTAAAAAGAGCAATTTTATACACATGAGTTCAAATTGTAATTCAAAAGTGAACTCTCGTGTTGCTTAAAATACATGGCAATAGATAACTACCTACTGCCTTATACAAGTCTCCTCGGTATATTCTAAACATACAGATGAACCCTTATGTCATCGGTATACTTTACACACGTGAAGCCTGGGTGTGCTGTGGGTAAGGCGAGACTTGTTTACGATGTCACCTCAGCCAGCGTCTCTACAGTGTACCCCACAATCAGGCTCCTCCCCCGCCACCACACCGTCACCAGGGGTAGGTACTGGCAGGGTTTGGACCTATAAATTAAATGATTCAATGCAATTATTATCATCCCAGTGTTTAGATATATAAATTATATTATATCAAATTAATATTTATTAAATAAACTAATCTAATTTTATTCAGAAAAAACTAGCCTGCGAATAGAGAAAACCTAATAAAAACATAACCATCTTCTCGGTGATGATCTGGTACCACCGCTTTCGAACCGCGTGGCAAACTAATCAGTCCGGTTTAACTTTAATGATATTTATTTTTCTTAATGATATATCGAAATATCCAATACCAAACAATACCTTTTTTTTAATTAACTTTACAACTGACAACTACTGTGAGAATCTGAAGCGTCATGTAAACATAGCGGCGGTATGTTGTGCCGGGAGGCGGGAAGTGGGTCATGGGGGAACAACAATTTGCTCCTGCGGCGTGTCTGGTCTGTTCCCTACCGTGTTCACTGGTGTTTGTCTGGAATGTTCCTCTGGTGAGTTTCCCTTACAAATATTGACGCAGATTATTATGTTAGGTTCCTCTGAGATATAGAACTTCAAGTAATTATAGGACGCTGGTTTGGTGAATTCAAATGGTATTTTTTTTAAAACCTTACAGGCGGCATTAGCAAACATGGATACTCCCCACGCCAGACACAACACAGTACACGAGTGTTAAAAAAATACAAATTATGACAAAGTGAAAGGTCATCAACTGCATAAGGTAAGAAAACCATTATAATTACAGGAACTAATGATTAAAAGCAGAAAAAAAGTCAAACACGTAACATTTAACTATAATTAAGTACTTAACACTCTCGACACAGTTCCCTAATATATACTTAAAAATAATCCACTTTTCTTTTTCCAATAGTTTAATCTGGTCTCAACAATGACGGACACATAATGGCATACATACATCAGTCATCCCAACAACGCCTTCACTTCCATGTGTGAACAACAACACACCTCAGTCACAGTCCTCTCCAGGTGACCCAACACGCTTGTTCTTCCTTCTATCGTTAGCTACAGGTAAGGAGACGTTCACTACAAACTCCTGACCATATCTTAAAAGAGGTTCAACACTTATGGTTAAGACGAGAAAAATCATCTGAAAATCACATATCCCTTCCTTCCTTACCCTCACCTTCCCTCTCCCTGCTCGCTCACTCCCTCCCACCTCCCCCCCCCTTTCTCCTACCTTTCCTCCCTCTCTCCATCCCTGGTCTTGTAGGAGGGACACACGGACTGAATTCACTGGAGCAAGACAAACTGCCCACATCCGCTATGTCGTATTTTGTGGCCAGACAATCAGACGATAACTGTTGAACGACGGAATTCTTAAAACTTACGATTACTAACACACACACACACACACACACACACACACGCATTACCCAGAAGATATTTCCCAAATTGTCAAAGATTAACCTGAAGAAATGAGACACTTTAAAACTCCGCCGTTTACATATGTATGAGACGTGGGCTGTGATGTGAGGGAACCTGCGCACTAATGACAGGTTATTCCGGGTCGTGATGATGATGATGACGGCTATGAAGCAACTTGTAATTACCTATATTATTATCTTCACAAAACTCACTGATCCCAACTTCACCTCTGACAAAATTAACACTATATGACTGAATTGCTCGTTCATCAGTGTCTCCATAAACATATGAGTGATGACGGATACTGTTACACAAGTATTCAGTAGGAACAAAAAACACTTACGACAGAACTCTTACAATTGTCGTCACGTTTCATTCTCTGATATCACGGGGTATAATTAAGTGTACGAAGACGGTGAAGTTAGCCGGAAGGTAAATGTAGACAAAAAATAACACCACAGACACAGGACCCCGACAGCTACGACGACAACACCTGGGACGACTCATGCGTGCAGTACCTGGTGGTGGTGTTGAGAATAACTCTGCCACAACTTTAGCTACGAAACATTCAAAGTAAATAAAAAGTGTCAGATCATAAACAAAAAACTGTATATGTTGGTGATACGTGACACAGGTTGACGTGACACAGGTTGACGTGACACAGGTTGACGTGACACCGGTAGACGTGACACAGGGACACAGGTAGACATGACAAAAGGTAGACGTGACACAGGTAGGCGTGACACAGGTAGACGTGACACAGATAGATATGACACAGGTAGACATGACGCAGGTAAACATGACACACAGGTAAACATTTCGCAGGTTAACATGCACACGGGTAACCTCACAACACCTGGACAAAGACACCTGCCACACTAACCAACTGCATCCCTTCAGACAATAACAACTGATTGAATAACAAAAACACAAAAAAATCCTAAATTCGAAAGAAAAAAAAATACAAGTAATCCTCAACCACCGAGCCATCAACCCCGGCAGCGTCATCACCGAGGTCAAAAGGTCAGCTGGGGAGGGCACTGGGTCAAAATCTAGCGAGGCAGGAGGAGGTAGGGGCTGGTGCTTGGGGTCAAACACATTATCTGGAAGCAGAGAGAAGGGAGGAAGGAACTCTGAAATTACAAACAACGAGACAAAATTATATTGTTTCTCGCAGAGGCAGAAAGTATTACATGATAAGGACTCTGCCTGCCTGCCTGCCTGCCTGCCTGCCTGCCTGCCTACACACACACACACACACTGCAGATAAATAACACCCAACCTTCTGGCAATAACAAAGGTAGTAAAAGGAGACGCGAACGAAGCAGGATATGGTAGGATTTTATCACGGAGCGTCTAAATGCCACCACTCGGCCGTGTACTGAAGGAGGCAGGACAGAGCATTACCCTCAAAATGTCTAGGAGCGGAATGATCTGTAATGTTATATAAACTAGAGTTGTTAATGTTTAAGGTATCTGTAATGTTAAAATAAACCAAATAACGCGAGTGATGTTATACAATATAATGCACAATATAATGCAGAAAAAATCGAACAAACGAAAGAATTTGGTTTATTTTCCTTTCATTCATTTCCCTCAGCCATGTACAGTACATTATCCATTTTTTCATTCATTACTTTTAGCTGTTCACATTACATCTGTTAATCCTTTGTAACCTTGGGGGATACCTCTAGCCCAGAGTACAGGCAGGATGGCGCAGGATGTGGAGGATTCCTTTGTTACCTTGGGGAATCTATAGATCAGAATACAAACAGGATGGAGCAGGGCGTGGAGGAAGCGATAGTGCCGGGCGGTTTAGTCTTCCAAGGACACCACCGCCAAACACGGGTCCTCAGCCACACATCACTTCCCCTTACTCTCTTACTTCACACACAGAGGAAAAAAAAAAGCTGACAAGTTTACGTAAGCAGAACAAGACACGGTATTTTCCATGCGGTAATACTGCATTTGTTAGCGAAAATAAAAAGAAAACAACCTCAAGCTGCAAAATATCAAAGCTACAAAAATTGTTGATATACAAAAAACAAATACATAAATAGATCCAACAGTTTGAAAAGAAGCTGAATAATTATAACTGTTCTATACTAAATATTTATTGTTCGTGTTATCTTGCCAACATTATGACTGAAGCACAGGTGTGTACTCAATTAAGGACTGAAACAGGTGTATGTATTGATTTAAGGTACTGATGTAACGACGGATTGACAGGTAAAATTGAATATGCCTCCCCACGTGCACATTAAAGGCATAAAAATTGAGTCTGAGGCGAAAATATAGCAATCGCTGCATCTGTTTGTAACAGTGGGTAACTGTATTAGAAAGTGTCTGTAATAATGAGGTTATACAATACAAAGAGGAAGAGGAAGAAAGAGAGGAGGAAGAACAAGAAAAACAAGATGAAGAAGAGGGAAAACAAGGTGAGACACAGAAGATGGAGGGAACTTGTCTCCCTAACCCCCTCCCCCACCCCACCCACCACCCCTCCGTCAGGAAAGTGTCAGGAGGCAGGTTATCTCTAGCCAGGGTCGTCATCATCACCTCCACCGGGACTTGTTCTTCCGCCTCCCACACTCATAACGACCCCTACCCTCACTACTACTACTACTACGACTCCCACCCTCACACTACTACGACTCCCACCCTCACTACTACGACTCCCACCCTCACACTACTACGACTCCCACCCTCACACTACTACGACTCCCACCCTCACACTACTACGACTCCCACCCTCACTACTACGACTCCCACCACCACACTACTACGACTCCCACCCTCACTACTACGACTCCCACCACCACAAAAACATACTCTTGGTTGAGTTTGACCTTCCGGTTAGTGTTATTTACTTATACTTTTTAAATAAGTTGTATATAGCCATTTTATGTTCCCGGTTAATGTTCTTTACGGTTAAAGTTGTTTACCGGTATAGTTTGTGGTGCATTTATCTGTTAATATATAGTGCGTATCTTCTCTGTCAACTGCCCCTTCCTCGTTTCTCATTTTTGTGTTGTTGGTTGAAGGTGTTCAGAAGCCTCACAGTAAGGGATGAATTATTATAGAGATGTTGAAGACAGCGACAAGAAGAGTGTTAAGACGACAAAGAGAGTGAACACACACACTCACACACACACTTCCTCAATTCATATAAACATGGCACACATCCCTACGTCTTCCACAATGGTTCACAACACTTTATCTATCCACTGTACTTCATCATATAAGCGGTACATTGCTATTATAACTAAGGCATAATCGATTAATAATTACTAATATAACAAGTTTTTCCCCGAACCCAAATCGGTTATGCTGACAGGGTAAAAAAGTAATGATAAATAAATAAACAATCGAAAAACAACCTGACACGGATATAAACAGCAGACTAATTACGTTTCTCATAATTGATAATTATAATGAACATCTCTCGTCAACTCTGTGGTTGCTCATTACTAGGAGACTTATGGCAAGGAAAATGTAAAATATCCCACCGCTGCCACCTTATGAACTGGCCCTTAATCATTGATGAGTTAATGGGGCTGGAACATGTAAAAGTATATAGGGTTTTTAGAAGCGAAAACCCAACTGTCTTTTCTTCATTTATTTGGAAAATATATTATATA